TCAGCTGTTCAGTTTTATTCTCATTTTGATCGATGTCTCGATTTTATCAAATCAATCAAAGCCGAACAAATCTTTCTGATTGTTTCAGGTGCTTTTGTACAACGTATTCTTTTACAAACTCATCGTTGTCGATCTTTGATTGCTATATTTATCTTTTGTTCGAACCATCAACGTTATAAACCACTGATGAAAGAATATAATAAAATTACTGGAATATTTACTAAACAACATGATTTATTAGAGGCAATCAAAGAAAAAATGAATTTTGTTGAAAAACAAACATTATCATTTAGTCTTTTTGATCAAAAACAAAAATCAATGAAAGATCTATCACAAGAATCAGCATCATTTCTCTTACATCAAATGTTAGTTTATGTTCTAAAACAAATGTCACAAGATGAACAATCAAAAAATCAAATGCTCAATATGTGTCGTGATTATTACAATCAGAATAAACAAGAACTAAAGAAGATTGAAGAATTTCAAAATACTTATACTCATGACAAAGCAATTGAATGGTACACAGATGAATGTTTTCTTTATAAACTATTAAATAAAGCACTTCGAACTGAAGATATTGAATTACTCTTTACTTTTCGATTCTTTATTATCGATTTATGTTCAGTTATTGAGCAAGAAAATCAACTTTTGAAAAAGCAAGGAACATTAACTTTATATCGTGGAACAAAAATTCCAAATGAAGAATTAGAAAAAATAAAAGAAAACATTGGTAAAACTATTTCAACAAATGGATTTTTATCAACATCACGAAATATCGATGTATCACTTAGATTTATTCATGACAATCCTCCATTAAATGATTTTACATCAGTTCTATTTGAAATTAAAGCAAATTCATTATTGAAAACAGTGATTTTTACCGATGTTGGAAATAAAAGTCGAATAGAGGGTGAAGAAGAAGTTCTTTTTAATCTCAATTCACTCTTTAAGATTGTTTCTGTCTGTTTTGATCCTAAACTTAATATATGGAAAGTACTACTAAATGCAACTGATGAAGGTGCAGAAAAAGTAGAAGAATATCTTGCATTTTCGAAACAACAGATGGAAGAATCCTCACCACTTATTTATTTTGGCCGACTTCTCTTGAATGAATTAGGTCAAGTAGATCGTGCAGGAAAATATTTTAATATGTTACTGAAATCACTTCCACATGATCATCCTGATATTGCATCTGTTTATAATGGTATTGGTGTAGTACATGATAAAAGAAATGAATTGAATTTGGCATTGAAAAACTATGAGATAGCTTATGGGATCCGTCAAAAACAACTACCTTCAAATCATCCTCACATTGCTGGCTCACTCAA